CATCACAGGTTACTGAGCTTGTTAGCTTGGCACACCGTGTGGGTATGGCAAGCTAACAAGCCCCGCTCTGCCTACCGCCCTACACTGCCAGTAGCACTACGGAATATCTACACATAAATACCTACAAGGCATGTTGCGTACAGATCGAATAGATGAGATAGATCAAGAGAGATAACCCGCCCGACTTACTTACTGAGATAAGATATCTCGCGCGCCGGCGTTGAGTATCTCATCAACGCCCGCCCGCCCATCACCGCCCGCCCATCATTGCCGGCGTCGGCACCCCCCTCCCCCTCCCCCCCTCCCACGGTGGCGGGGGGTGTCCCGTCGCCATCACAGACGACGCCAAAGCCCGGGCGCCGGCGGTCCGCGCGAGCGCTCCCCGCCCCGACACATCCCAAATCCGGTAAGGGGCTCTCCTGGGACCAGGATGGCCTCCCCCGGCGGGCCATAGCTCCCCTCCCCGCCCGCCGATTCACGCCGTTATTTTTGTAATATGTGCGCACTACATAGGGGTATATAATAAGCTTTGTCCGATGAGATTTGGTTCAGTAGCCGTTTATACAGATGACGATTACTGTGAAAGGTACCTTCCAGGACAGTATCTCAGCTACAGGGTAGTGTATATGCGTGTAGACTGTCACAAAAACATGCCCCTACGTAGTTGTAGTATATGGCTACTGTAGAAGCCTTTTTGCGCGCGATTTGGACCAGCGGACGCGATGGGACACCATGTCCTCCCGGTGGTGGACATGCCTGTGCTCCTGACTCCTTCCCGGTCGTACTCTCCTGGCGCGCTCTGATCGGACTATACTGTACAGTATGCAGGTTTATTATAAACCTCTTCTTAGGGCTTTTGGTCCGATATACAGCCGGACACAAGGGGAGAGTTCTTTGGCCATCAAGGGTATGTCCCTGGAACATATCATGGTATATCTTCTGCACACAGTGTGTGAGAATCACCGCAAGTGTAACGCTACAGCCGCCTTTGAAATACGCATCTGTGAAGCCAAAAATCATGATTTTAGGTGGAGATTAGCGGAGGATATGCCAGGAATACCGTGGAAGTGCACCATTTGTGTTGAGTGTGCAGCACATTTTCGTGCATAGACATGTACAAAGGACGTTCTTAGCCACTGTTTCGAGGATATCTTCCGCAATTCCTGCCCTAAAATCATGATTCCAAATGTGGTAGATGCGTAGAAAATAGGGCTTTCCAGAGGTACTGCTCTCCCGGAAGCTCCATACTTGGGGCATCGGGTATGCCGCAATATGTGTGCAAATTTCTCCCTTACAGTCAAAGTGACCTGCCTGTGCATACGACCCAATATCGGCTCCAATATTACGGGAATAGCTATCTTATAGTACCTCATACTGCAACATGC